AACAAAATCTCTTTATGGCCACTGAAACGCAAGGATTCGGCTTCCCATAACAGGACACACATTTAAAGAAAACAAAACCTTTTTTCACTTTAGTGCAAGAAAAAGAGAGGGGAGAAGACAGTACAGTAGAATCTAATGGTATTAAACTGAGATTTAAGTGCAGAAATGTATATATACATTCACAGAAGAAACTCTGTAAACCATACTATAGTCTACATAATAAAGTAGCTTGGTTTTTCCCCCAGCTGCTTCAAGATCTAACTAGTCACCCCAGCTGAGGCCATGGGATTTTGGAAGGCTTACACAAGTGCCAACATCTGCTTCTATTCCCATCAATGTCAAATTTGTCAGAACACGAAACTGCACCAGAAAAACAATCCCTGTCATAGAAAAATAAACTCTACTTCCATGGATATCCCCTGAAGTACCAAGTGTAGCAGATCTATTACATTTCCAATTTCTATTCCAAAATAAAATTTCTTTCCCAAAAATATATATACACATTTATATATTTCTATATATATGTATTTACCTACTATTGTATCTAACCTATTTCCTGTAATGTACCCGCATTCTAAAGTTCTTCATGGCCTGGTTTGCCTTTACTGTCCAAACAGTCAGTGTAAAGCATAATCATAGAAACTAAGCCTTACACCAAGGTACAAAGTGACAAATCAAGGCAGACATTTTTTGCAACTCTTTACTACTACTTTTTAATTTCTTACAGTTTTACTGGTCTCTTTACTACTGCTACATTGAGGGTTCAGGTGAGCACTCTGATTTATACAGTAAATGAAACCTTATATTCAAACATTAAGCAAAATTTTTAAAAAAAACTATTTTTTTAAAGCTTTAGTTAAAAAGTCAAATATATCCCCCACCATAAAATCATGGACCAGTGAGAATCTTGGAAAAGTTTATGTAGTTTTACTCTAGTTAGCTAACTACACTTATAGTGCAAAATAGGAAATTTTCATTATGTTTACACAGAGCACAGTAAATATACACACTTCGTCATTTGCTGTAAAGAATTCAATAGATAAGGTACATGTTGATAAAGTCACAAAATTTTTTCAAAAAGCATCTTTACTATGAACACTCAAGGTAATATTAATTATTCAGTTACACAGTTGGATGACACATAATTATTTTAGGCAAAGTAAATAGTCACCAACTGTTGATTTCTCTCCCCTTCAGAAAGTGCATTTTTGTAAAAAAAATATTCTCCTCTATCTTTACAAGTGCACCTTCTCTTTTGTTAGAAAACAAAGATTTTGCCAAAGAAAGATGACATGACCACAGAGAGATCACCCAGCAGGAGAAAAATCCCAATTGCTAATTTAGCCAGTAAAGTATCAATAGTTTGTAGCAGAAACCTCATATTGTCCATCATAAAAAACTCCATCTGCAGATACAGTTTTCAAAGACGTCTTAGCACCTTAGGTAAATTCTTCCATCACTAGATGTATTTCTTTTAAGAAATGCTAAATGCTTACAAGAACAAAACCTCTGATATTGCAATGATACCCCAAATGTTATAATTAAATGTCCTGTAAACCCTTCTTCATAATGTAAGCCTTTCCTCAAAAATTCCTGCGTGTGCCTCCTCCCTGTGACGTTGCTGCAACTGCTGATGGACTGAAGTTTATCCACCTCCTGTATGTTTACATACCTCACTCAAAAGGGCCCAAAATTGTTATTGCTCAGTATTACTGATGTCTCAACATACTGTGCTACTGTAGTTTATTACTGGAAGATTCAGGAGATCCGAAAGAATAATATTAATACAACCAGACCTTTCCACTCAGATTTGATCTGTGATGAGTGCAAATTAAATACAATGTACTGTATTTACATAGTGTAAAGCCAAAAAGAAGAGGTGAACAAACTCACATGGGAATGACTACTCAGCTACATCTATCTAATAAAATAATGAATATGTTAAATCTTCTGCTTTGCACTTAATAATCCTGTAGACTTTTGACAGAATACACACACCAAGCTGCTTCTCCCTACACTGATTATAACTGGTGGATGAAGAATCACAGAGGAGTAGGGGAACAAAAATGCTTTAAATAACCAACCAGAAATTTGTCCTCAGTTAGACACTCTTTAATTGCAATATAAATGGAAGAACCTAAACAAATCTAACATATAATAGACATGTTTCCAGTGTGGGGAAACCAGCAGAGCATTTCCCACATTGACACACACCAGGAAGTCACTTCCTCATTATAATCTCTCCATTCTGCAGCCAGCCACAAGCTGTACCAGGCAAAGCCCCATTTCCCCAACAACACTGCACCAGTACCAGGGGTCTCCTCCTCCCACCACTCAGATGAATCAGGCTTACAAGCTTCACTTCCACTCCTGAACTATGATATACTGCCCACTGCGACAATGTAATTTTGTCTCAGCCAAAGGGGTCGCGCAAGTTATCAATTCACTCCACAAGATCTCATGAAGTACTCAGGTGTGGTATGATTTATGTTACACTTCCACACAGATCCCACTTATATACTGCCCTTTTCCTACACGAACAATCAATTGAAGAAAACTGAATTTTTCTGTGCATTAATTTAACAGGGCACATATACAAAATGGAAATTGCAGTCCGAACGGGTGAAAAGTTACCTCTCTTGCCCACCACTATGACACAAGTGCTAATGCACTTTTCCATGTGAACCATGCACATCATAAAAGATTACATTCTGTAACCCGGCAGAAGAAATAGGTTCTAACCCTGAAACCACAAGGGTTTTTTCATTTATCTAAGTGAATAGTCTGTTCCTATTAACTATAGTAAAAACCGCAGGTACTCGATGAAAACTGTTAGGAAGACTATAAATGGCTTCAGCTTCTCAATCATAAAGGAAACGTGGTTTCTACCACAATGAGCTCCATGGTGTTGTGGCGACCTGGAAGCCTAACTCTTACATTTTCTTGGAACTCCAACCGCTCTGGCTGCCTGTACTTTATCGAGACATCCTAGAAAATAGGATAGGGTTTGGGCAGAGAAATAGTCAGTGCTGGGACCCCACACTATTGGCAGCGGGGTCACTTCAGACTAGCTCTAGTCTAGTCCCGGGAGCTGCACAATTATTAGCAGCCGGATGTGCTCCTACAGAAAACCTGCCGGTTCGCTTCCTTCCAAAAAGAACCCAGGCTGTGTGCCCCAAGACCACCTCATGATGTGAAACAAAGTAAACTGGGATTGTGTTTGTATCTCAGAAGAGCTAGTTCTAAGACTGATAATGGTTGCAAGGGGGAAAAAAAAAAAAAAAAAAAAAAAAAAAAAAAAAAAAGAAACCATAAGCCTAGGACACCTAAATGACAGGATTTAGCCTCCAGATCAAAAAGTAACCATAGGAACAAGTCCAATGATGGTTTTGATGGCTTATGTAAAATAAGTGTGATGGTCTCCATATTAGCCCTAGTCCAGTGGCCCTCATAAACCTACCACCACAGCTGCTCTGAACAGCAGTCCTAGCAGGTAGGCCAAAGAAAAGCTCAGAAGTTGTTTCCTCAAACCAAGGTTAAGTTACAGTTAAAACGCATTACATTTCCTTGTGAAGGATTTACATCTCTGAACTGTCACTTGAACCCTGTTCACAACCATTAATGAATATGAAAAACTTGACATAGAAGAACCAGGAATTTAACTCTGGTCCTCCTCCCTTTCTCCATATGATTTATTTAGATCACCTTGATCCAAACTGCAAAAAAACCTTATTATTGAATTCAGTATTTGGATACAACTTGAAATATGTACAGAGTCTGCTCTTTAGAAGAAGCTGAGTACTTACTCCTTGTACACCAGTATCTGTTATGTCTTAAACTGTAGAGTACAAATGATCTAAGACTCTGACACACACCAAATTTGGGAACTAAGATAAAATATTGAAGAACATTCCCTTAGGAGAGATATCTTCTTACAACAGGTAAAATCTGATTGTTAAATGGAAGCCAGTGAAACACAAATGTACAGCCAGTTTCTCAAACATACATGTTAAACTTTTTTTTAAAAAATAGAAAACATATTGGACCATTTACCATTTTTCATGGTTCTGCTGAGGATAAACATATGGAGAAAATAAGCTACTCTGTAGATCTTATTTCACTCCAGTGTCTGTGCTTTTATTCTCCCTGTCACAGCCAAGTTGAGAATTTCCTCTTTCATGATAATAAGCAGAAAGTTCACCGATCTCACGGCAACAAAGCAGGAAGTTTGCAGTTTGAAGGATTTCCCCTCTTCAGTGGGACAGGGGAAGACAGAAGAGTATCGGGGGGCTACTGTGAAATCTTTTGCAAACTTCAGCAGCTGATTTGGACATACCTATCTCAACAGGGTTCTAAAGTGATGCTACCACGAGACACATGAAATACTGCCCGCATCTGTTCTGTAGTAATTTGTCACTTTGGCTTTTCGAGAGAGCGAAAACTCCTGCCTTTCTGACGAGGGCATTACCTGGCACAAATAATCTTATCAACGGCGACAGTCCGATGTAGGGAGGAGGCTACAACTGCCGCAACGCAGCCCCCCCCAGAACGTGCTACCTTCCCAGCCGACCCTGTTGCACAAGACAGGCGTGAACGCCACATGTGGCTTTAACGCCAAGCAGCTGCTGCACACCCGCACCCCCCCCCGCGCTCCCCCTTACCCCCCTGCACCGATCTGTTTCAAGGACTACGGCGAGTAATGGAACTGCGGCGCCCTGTAGCGAACACAAGCCCCCACGCCCAAGGCAGACCTGAACCCAAACACATCACCCCCCTTCGCTTCCACGCCGGGTGAAGGGAGATCACCCGTGCTAAAGTGAGATCACCAGTTCAGGCTCCCCGAGGAGGGCGGCCGGGGGGGGAACACAAGACCCCTCCCCAGCCAATTCCAAACCTGTTACTCTCCCTCCTTTTGAAGCAAAATCGGCCGCCCGGGGCGGAAAACCCTTCTCCGAGCTGCGAGCCCCGCTCCGCGCCCCTCCGCGCCCCTCCGCGCTCACCGACACCAGGAACTCCAGCGTGCCCACGTAGTCCCGCTCGGTCTTGAGCAGCTCGTTGAGGACGCAGACGCGCAAGCGAAGCTGCTTCTCCAGGTCCTTGCCGCTCTCCCCCTTGCCTTCCCCTTTGCTTTCCTCTGTCATGGTGCAGCGCGGAGGAACGGGCGCTCCCAAGCCCGGCGGCTTGCCCGGCGGCCAGGCAGCGCTGCGCTGCGGACGAGGAACAACAACAAAAGACCCCGCCAAGTTACATAGCGGGGCCGGGGCCCCCCAGCCGAGGAGCAGCCTCAGCCCCTCCTCACCCCGCTCCAGCGGCCGGCCGAGGTGCGGGGGCCAGGAGCCCCCCCGGTGCGTCCTGCCTTCCCGTCAGGAAGGGGACACAGCCCGGAGGAAACGAGCGGTCGCTGGTTCCCAGCTCGCCCTGTTCGCTGAGAGGTTGGAAAGCCGCCGCAGCAGCGCAGACTTGGACATTAATCAAAAGCTTTGTATCCATGTGACTCCAACCCCTTCCCCCCCCCCCCCCCCCCCCCCCCCCCTTCGCTAAATCTCAGGAAAAAGGAAAGGAAACAACTTCAGGGAAGATTGCGTGCCAGCAGCTGCCTGTTTCACACACAAGCTGCGAGCTCCAGTTTGAGGCTAATTGGAGATCTCCAACAACAGAGCGCAAGAATTATAAAAATGTCCCAGCAAGCTGGCTGGCCAGGGAATCAGCAGTTGTTTTTGTTTTGGTTTAATCGTCAGCAAAAGAGCCATTCCAACTTCCCTTCCACACCTTCCCACGAGATATACGTTACAATATGTATCGCAACTGATGTATATTACAAATACGTGCTTTGATGTTCTCCTGAACAAACACAGCTAACCATATGCACAGGATTCACAGGTACAAACAGTACATTCTACAGCAGGTACGATAAAGTTCTTCCAAGATGGGGGTTTTAGGGGGTTTTGTTTGTTTATTGAAACGTGGTGCTATAAAATCCCCAGGCTATCAGTTTTCCCATCTGCACTGAAAGTTCATATTTGCACGATGCATTAAAACAGTAAAAAAAAAAAAAAAAAAAAAAAAAAAAAGAATGCAGTAATCTTTTCAAACAGTTAGAAAAAAGTATATAGCTACTTTATACAAGAGGAACTGGTTTCTTGAAAACTGAAGTATGTCAGGGCACCACCACGTGAATTTTGAGACCACTGTGGAAAGCTGAAGGTTTCTCTGGCTAGCTCTTAGATCTGTGACTGGAAAGAAAATCCAGGTATTCAACTTCAAGATTCCGTACCAAAGTGTTTTTCAAAACTTGCAGCATTCTAAAAGGTAGGAATGAAATGAAAATCAGGGCGTAAAACTCTTCTACAGCCACCGTACAAGCTGAGGCAGCAAGGAGAGTCTTTACTGGGAGAGAATAAGCAAAGACATTCGTGTTCTGATAACTAGACATCATCTAGCTGTCTGCCTCAGACTTTTACTGGGGAATAGGAGATATAGTTCCCACAAAATGTTTCTCAAAGAGCGGAAATTAAAAAGCCTGTTTCTCTGAATGTGTCCTACTTCTCTGCATCCTCCCCTTCCCAAACACGTAAAACCTAGGCAAGTAGCAGCAGTCGCCAGGATTGGTCCTGCTACGTGTACCCTGCTCAGTCATTTATGTGCGTGCATACCAGCCTGCAAACTTGCCTACTGACCTCAGTGTGGCTCTTTCCTCAGTGGGACATTAGTCCTCAATGGGACAGTCGTCCATTCCAAAAACAGACACTGAGTTTCCTGAAAATCAGAACTTCATGTTTTTAAGGACCTCACTCCCCTGCCAAATCTGGTTCAAATGGACTGATGAGTTGAAAACAGACTGGGACAAAAGTTGTCTGAAAAGCCAAACCAGTTCAACCATCGAAGCTTATTTCCTTAGGAAACCTGTCTAAAATAGACAACGTGTCTGAAAGTCCCAAAGCCCTGTGGCATCTGCCCTGATCCTATGAAAAAGATTAAGTGCTTCACACTTTGCACTAGCACCAAGAAGGCTGATGCTATGGTGGAAAGACAAAAAAAAAAAAAAAAAAAAAAAAAGAGTGATACACTGAACTCTCTTATAAAGTTTTCTCAAATGATAACCAGCAAAAGGATCCAAAACCACTGGAGTAGAACATCACGCTTTCTTTCTCACTCCTAAACGCCTGTGGGTGCCCTTACTCAGGCAGTCAGAGCCAGGTGCCTCAAACTAGTTAAATTTCCTGTCGGCAAGCACCCTCTCTTTCAGGAGAGCAGAAATAAGGGACCACTGCAGTTTCTGATTTCAGACATTCCCCTTTGCTGTTGGCTTCAGCCATGGACTGTTCATTGTCACAACCCACATGCACAGTCACAGACCTAGGTGAAGGCTAAAAGAGGCAGGAGCAGCAGCTTACTGTCTTTTTCTTCCCCAGCATCTGGAGCAGTAAGAATCCCTTCCCTTCACATGTTTGTCATCTCATTGCCAGGAGACATAAGACAAAGTGATCCTTGTCCCGGTGTACACTCTGGCCATCCCCATACAACTGGTTCTTGCTCCTTCATTCAGGCAGGCAGCTCCAGCTATTTGAGCCAGCAAAAGCATTACTGACAATACAGAAAAGATTTTTATGACTCACTTAAGGCCACTGAACCCAGCAAAACCCACAGCAGATGTGCAATGATAGGAAAAGCAGTTCTAAGTATTAGACACAATCTATGGAAACATACGTGCATACAAGCTTAGCCAATTTTCCTGACAACCTGCTTGAAGTACTAAAGACAATGGCAAATTACTATTTTCCCCTAGTTTCAGGAAAAAGCTGAAGTGATCCAACTGTAGTTTTCACTACAACAAAATTGGGGGGAAAAAAAAGAGTAAAATGAAAGAAGGCTAGAGCATACACACAAGATGAAAAACTTCAGCCTGAACAAAATGTTTTTAAGCAACTAAAGAGCAGATTTTGCACTGTGATGTATCAGGGAACCTGACTAGTAGATAGCACTATCTATCTTAAATACAGAAACAAATTATTTAAAACAGCATATTGATTATGCTAGCATATGAAAGACATTAATTCTTGCTCCCTTTGGGGAAAGGGATTTGGAGAAACTGCAAAAATCAGATTACTCCCATGGGACAGTATAATGTTGGAATGCAGCAAGAACTGTTTCAGTCCAAGGGTACTTGAGGCCCAAGCTGGAACTCTATTTAGACTCCTGTTGAAAAAATATGGTACCACACAACTTTTGGCCTATTCACAAAACCACATAATTGAGGATGGATGGGACCTCCCAAGATCATCTAGTCTACCCGCCCTGTTCAAGCAGAGTCAACTACGGCAGGCTGCCCAGGGCAACAGGACAGGTTGTCCAACCAGGTTTTGAGTAACTCCACAGATGGCAACGCCACAGCCTCTCTAGGAAATCTGTGCCAGTGTTTGACCAGTGTTCTACAGTAAAAAAAAAAAAAAAAAAGTCTTTTCTTGCGTTCAGACAGAATTTCACGTTTTTTAATGTGTGCCCATTGCCTCTTGTCCTGTCAGCAGGCACTACTGAGAAAAGTCTGGCTCCCTCTTCTTCTTTCCCTCCCATCAAGCATTTAGGAACATTGATAAGATTGCCCATGAACCTTCTCCTCTCCAGGCTAAACAATCCCAGCTCACTTGGCCTCTCCTCATATGTAAGATACTCCATTCACTTAATCATCTTCATGATCCTTTCTAATGACCTGAAACAAGTTTCCAGATATTAAAACCCTGATGCATGACAGGTGGTAGTAATTAAACTTCAACGGTCTGCCATGACACTTGTGTATGGGAAAACCACATGGATTCATTTCTGTGTTGCTACTGAACGATGGCTATCAGTGCAAGACAGCTCCAGTATCACATGTGAATGAAATCAAACATTCTGCATGGCATATTATCTTGTATCACAGCACAGTAAAGGACTCTCCAGTCCAGCTGTGATTTTAAAATTTTCTTATTTTCAGAGAAAGCTGAAATAAGTTTCTGAAGCTGTATCAATAGATGGGATAGCTTACTTTGCAGGCTGCTCACCAACACTGAAAACTTTTCTTTCTTGGTTAGTTTTTCTGAAGTATGAAAAACAGGGACAGACTAACACAAACCCTTTCTACTCCCCTTGTATAAAACAGGAAGTGTGTGGGGGTGTGTGTGTGTCCCCCTTTTCTCCTGGTAATATTGATAATGCAGCAATTTCTCCCACTCTAACCTGCCTAAATGGTCGATGCAAGACAGAAATGGCTATCAAAGCTAAAACTAGCCATTTTCCTATAGCAATCTTCACTACTAGAATTTACCGGAACTTTAAAAAATAAACAAAAAAACAAACAAACAAAAAAACCCAACAAATACATAAGAATGCTTAAGAAACCCATCCAAGAAACGTGATTAACAAACAACACTAAAAAAGTTCACCTGTAAAAACAGTTTGTTTACAGGTGGCTCTAATGCCGTACTGAGCAATGAAAAGGTTAATATGTACAGGAGTAGCTGTAAACTGTTATGAAGTAAGTGTTGGAGGGTGCGTAAATCGAGGGGCTTGCTTTTGACACATTGCTGTCTGCTCATTCACCACTGAGTTTACACCAAGCCAGCTTTGCAGCCACCAGTTTTAAAGAGAAGTCATTATTTGTACAGAATGGACAAAAATAATCAGTTCTGTAATTTTCCTTCATGGCATTTTTGCATGGAGGTACTTTAACCACAAAGACATTTAAATGGCCTCAAGCAACACCAGTTTGTGGAGGCAGTGTAACATAATCATCAACAGAATGCTTACAGTGAGCTCATATAATCAAAATATTTCTGCAGGTATTCTGAATACCAGCTGGTCCCCCACAAATAAACAGATTTTATTACCCCAAATTGCTACAATATTACTTTCCAAGTACGAATGCACTGGACTTTGCCATACAGTTTTTCCACAAGCCTCTAATAATGGTGCATATCTACCCGCAAAGCTTTCAGCCGTTTTATTCCCACCCGCACAAGGGACACAGCAAATATCTGTAGCAAACAAAATCTTAACATTCAGATTCACTTAACATGTAAAGAACTACTGCATGATCCAAATATGATTTATCAAAAATAAAGCTAAAAGAATATGTATAGGTTATAATTCTTAGGAAAAAAAGGAGCTTTATAATTCACTTAAAGGAGTATATTTAACTTTCTCTGTAAGAATCAATGGTACCTTTAAGAAATCCTGCTGCAAGAAGCCACCTCAGTCTTACAATGGCAAGTGATCAGTACAGATGTTTTTTCTTCAGAAGACTATTTAACATGAGCCAGCACGTCCCCAGAACCTCAAGATAGGAGCACAGTTAGTTCACATACCTTTTGAATTTAAATTG